AAATAAATAAATAAAGAGAAAAAAAAATAAAAATAAAAATAATATCTTTGTTGATCCTGATTTTAAAAAAACTCGATCTGCTGGACACGATAGAACAGCTGGTATGAACCGGTGATCAGCAATATCAAATCTATGAAAATCTAAATAAAATCTATATTAAAATCTGCAATTAAGAACCTAAAAGTATAAATATAAGAAAGGAGAAAATTAAGTATAATACATACATATATACACAGAAACACAAAAACCCCGCGCCCACAAAACATATACATCCATTGCATGTACGGGGATCGCAAAAGAAAAACAAAACATTAGGCTAAAAAACATATATACACATAATCGAAAACGCGGTATTTCCATGCCTCTATTACCATGTAAATAATTAAATAAATAAAAAAATCTATCGCACAGTACACGTACTTGCGCTCGTTTTTATCAAAATCTAGAAAATACTTAAGAGGCAATGTCTGTCAAAATCAAACATAATCGAAAATCCGCGGCCACGTTAAAAAAATGGATTTTGTTCATATTTGGTCCAACGATGTGGAATACCACCTAAATAAACGTACTGATGTCCGTTTTGGATGATTTCAATTTTATTTTGAGAAAATCGTGAAAATCGATTTTGGCCGTCGGCTACCTAAATTCAGCCTAAATCGAGGTGAAAATGGTAGGTCTGAGAAAGGCGTTCGCGTATAAGAAAATAGCGCTTAGAAAGCGCATGTGGCACTGCTAGTAATCGAATTTATAGTTTCATAAAAATTTGTTGAAGATATCCATTTAAGGAGTTTTTGATGTGGTGATATGATGTCGGTTTATGTTTTATATTAGTTGAAATTAGTATACAATACGAAGATAAAAACTGTGGAAGTATACAGAAATAGTATAAACGGAAATGGCGGTAAATCATACTTTTTTTAATAATTTCCTCTTTCGAGCTTCAGTCATTTTGCGATAGGATCTTACAAGATATAGGTCTGAGCATAACAGAATTCATGTTTGAATCTTTAGTATGCTATTATATGGTCAAACGTTCCATATGGTTTCTGGTAAAAAATAAGGGCACATGTGGGTAATGCTAATATACGGAAATCTTATATGACATAGCAATAGCATGACTAGAACAATTTCACTATTTTCAAGTTTATTCAGCATTGTCGGATATGGAGTCGAGTAAGTGATGCGCATCACTTTATAGTAAATGAATGAATAAATGAATTGAATGAAGGATTGGAAATTAAAAAGAAGTGTGTGGAAAGTGCAGAAAACTAGAGTCTTTGTTCAGATATCTATACATTTCTTAGTAATTGGGTTTTAAAGGGCAAACCTCATTTCATTTTATCTCGACTGACACCAAACTATAGAACTTGGTAAATTCGGATGTGCTTTATTTCTGGCTTTGTGAGTCTTGCGTTGATTCATTTAGTATACAGTCACTTCAAAAAACGTTGTCGTCGACCGGCTCAAGCCTACGCGACTTGAAAGAAAGGAATATGGGTAAAAATCACTGAAGCGGTTAAATATTCGTTCGGAATTAATTGTTCCCGCTAGTAATAATGATAATAATGGCGAGAAACAATCCATCAAATGCATGTCTTTGGGTTTAGGGAAAGAAAAACAAAGTAGTTATGATTCAGTTCACAATTTCGAAAATATGAAGGCATTAGAAAAACGTCTTCTTCAACACTTCCCGCTCGCCTACGAAGGTTCGTGCTGTAAACCAGGCGATTTACCGTATAGTCGCACTCGGTTTGAAAGCCGGCAATATACTTGACCTTTTTTTTACTCCCTTCCTTTAAAATTCATCTTTCGAGGTCGAATTTTCCCACAATGGGCCTCAATATTCCTCTTTAGAGGCTCAATTATCCTACAATGGGGCTCAATATTCCTCTTTCGAGGCTCAATTATCCTGCAATGGGGCTCAATATTTATCTCTCGGAACTCAGTTTTCCGGTAATGAGGATCAATATCAGGCTTTTGTTTGCACTTTTATCTTTTGCATCTACGAAGAATTCAGCTGCTTTGGGTTCTTGATGTTTAATGATCGATATCTCCGTTAACATTGGCCTGTTAAAACTCAGTTAAAACCTTTCATTTTCTCCGCTTAGAAATAGGAAATGAAAGTAGTGATAAAATATGTAAAATGTAATTCGTTGCAAAATTAGAACTTACCTTAGCTTGACAGTCGAAAATTTTGCTGGAGTTGGCAAGAATGATCGTGGACCATGATGTAGTTTTCGGGAAAACGACGTAACAACGAGCAAACAACGACATTTTTACGCTTTACGTTGATTGGTTCCAAAGGGTCGGAAATTTTCGAGAAGATACGAGAAGGTATTGATCGTTTCGCTTGGCATGGGATCATCCGATACTTCTAAGAATTGTGGTATTGGGGTTCCTGTGTAAAGCTAACTCACTCACGGACATGGATCGATAGCACAGTGGTACTGCTTGTGCGAAGCAGTGCCACAATAAAGCAAACTAGAGAAGATCTGTTTTTGGAATAAGGTAAAGGAAAGCCTAATGATTATTTTCAGCTAAAATATAAATAGGGAAACGCGTTCTAATAGGAACGTTTTAAGAACTACATTTTTCGGGTTCCCAGATATTTAAATTTCCCCCTTAGTTTGCAAAGCGCATTTTCATGTGCACCGGGTGTTCGGATTTAGCTGAAATTCCAGCCATAATAGCGGAGCACCATACTTAAGAAAAGATGGTAAACCATCGAGTTGATTTTTCATGGCTTGACTACTACGTCACTTCCGTCCGTCCGTACGTCCGTGTACACAACACAGGAATCCCGCTTGATTTCAAAGCAAAACTACTCGGAAATGCTGCTCTCAAATGCACAGCAAAAATCGGTTTAGGTCAAGTTCTTGACCAGCTAAAAATAAAAAAAAACTTTCTTGTAGTCAAGGATGGATCAAGAAGTGTTTTTTTTGACAATAATTTATCTCGACGAATCGACAAATCAAAGACTTTCTCTCAAAACTTTTAATATTTCTAAAGATAAGCTTAATTTATTTTAATATTGGAGGAAATATAACACGGAGAGCATA